TTTATTATCTTTATTATTATTATTATTATTATTATTATTATTATTATTAATTCTATTTCTTGATTCCTTTTATCTATTATTAGATTTCCGAAGCTGAATGTAATAATTTGTCTGGTAAACAATTGTTTTCTATTCGTCCACAACTTTTCGAAATAATTCTTACCCGTCTTTTTTTTTAAATAGAATTCAAACCACATACATATTCAAAGATAATATCAAGTCTTCAATCGACTTTAGTAATTCAACCTAATGATGTTATCGACAAATCCGAAATTTCAATTATAGAGAATATTTTCTTCAATTATGATTCTGTATTTATGCCTTGGGTTTGGAAGGTTTGTGAAGGTAGTTGGAGCTTAAAGGAATTTGTCTCTAATCTGGTTAGTATTTATCATACAAACTAGTGAAAATATTCTTGGATTATATTATTAAATTCAACGTTATTTTATAGATGGTCAGATGGTTATTTTTAAAGTTTCAAGATTTCCAACCTTTAGATATTTCTTTTGTAATTAATGGAAATTTCTGTTTCAATGCGAATCAAAAAACTCTTAACCTTTTGAAAACTGGAAATCTTTTATTCAACAATTCGTTTGCTGTTCAAATTTTGTTGGTAAATATTTTTCTCATGTGATTTCTTTAAAAATTTTTTACAATTCATATTTTATTTATTTATTTGCATCAAAAATAGCTGGTATTCTCAAGTTTGAGAATACACAATAACAAGCAGAATAACGAAAACAATGATATAACAAGATTATTTCGTATTATTTCCTCTATTTTTATTTGCATCATATCATCTAATAGTAATAATGAGATAAATGATGCTGATAACAATGAAATTGAAAAGCATGTAGGGGACAGAAAATTATTATTTCAAAACCTTGCTAAATTTTGGTCAGAGATTCTAAAACTGTTTGGTGCTCCTGGGATTATTGAAAACGTTCCTACAGATTGTAAGTTATTTACATGGTTTACATGGTTCTAGTAACACGATCTGCATAAAATCTTCATTTAATTTTTAAATTAATTGTACTAAAAATAGGGTGGCCAACTATTAATATTATCGTTTTATTATTGGGATATCATTTTGATCCAGTTGAAACTTTAATCAGTGTGACGAATTTGTCTGGAGGTATGTATGTAATGAATGAATGTATGTATCACAACTGCATGCGTAATTTTGTAAAAATCTAATTTTCTTATCAAAATATTTAGTATTGGACCATGTGTTAAAGTAATTACAATCGTACTTTAGGTTAAATCCTGAAATTAGATCTTCTTGCATGCATATAACTTGAAATAGCAAGGAGTAATTTTAAGCACATTTTAAGTCTCAAAATTACTAATATAGATACTATTATTATTATTTTATATTGATTTTATATAGAATATTACAAAATATTAACGAAAGCGATAAACAAAGTACAACCAGTTGTCAAGATGAAATAATTGTAAAGACCACGCGTTTAACATTTATAATTCATTTTTTAACAATTTTTTCCTGTGTTCAAAATGAAACTGGTAAGTTGGTATCATTTTATTTTTCAATCTATAACCATTTATTTAAATTTTTTTGAAATTTAAAAGTGATGCTAGAAATTCGACAGCATCCGATGCTTCTCGAAGCTCTTAGACAATGGGCCTTATCACCTAACCAAAATATTAACCATGATGTTAATAAGTTTATCGTGAACACAGCTTCATCCGCTGCATTAACAACTGTTGATATTGAGGTGAAATCTTCAATCATTGGATTGCTAAGTTTAACAATTCCGAGTGTTGAAGAAAGCAATAGTGTGTATAATGATTGCAATAAACAGGTTTGTTTTATTACACAGTATGTATTTTCTTATTAATATCAATTTACAAATGCATAAATAAAATAATTTCATAGGAATTTGTTTTATTTCCTACGATAAATGAATTTGATGATATAATGATTATGTTTAGACGTGATCCTTCATTATTTGTTGGTGAATATTTATTTATAAGCTTTAGCATATAATTAATTTACTAATTAAATGATCAGTAATATAAAAAAATATATGCATCTTGAGGTCATATTTGTTCGATAATTTCAACTGGATTTCGTCCTCTGACTTCAGGTGAATTTAAACAAAAAACTAGATTGATTTATATCAATACCTGGGATATTTTTAGAGATTTTATCGTTTCAGAGGTATTCATTATTATTGATATTCTCACAAAATTATCGGATTACCGTTAACTTTTATTACCGTTAACTTTTAAGATTGATAATCAGTTCACATGGTTCATGCTCTTACCAATCGCAAATGCTTTCGAAATAATGTTCAAACAAAGTGAGGCAGATTTAGGTACATTTTCCTGACATTTAATATATATCAATAAATTTGTATTTGAAAAATTAATCTCTCAATCGATTTAAAAGGATATTACTTGATAGAGAATAAATGGAATTTATTCATGTTAAAAATAATTGTTCGATATGCTCAATATCATTACGAAAATTCAACGAACGATATAAAACCCGAATCAAATCTTTGTAGTAAACATTGTTCTCATTCTGTGATGAGAGTGCAACTTTTGCGTGGAATCGTGCGTATTGCACAATATGTTTGTATTCATACAATTATTTTTTTTTTTAATTAACCTTTACGCATTTATATATAAACATGTGATATTAATTTGCTTTAAATCCTTTTAAAAGTTCACGTCAGTTCAACCATCATGGATCAAAGACATCTTTTCTGAAAACTTTATTGACTTTTTTATTTCTTTGGTCAAAGGCATGACCGAAATGTCAAAATGTGATATTATTTTGCTCGAAATGCTGCTACGAATGTTGCATCATGTATGACTACACATAAATATCTTTGTTTAATCAAATTCTCAAGCTCATTAAACTTATTCAATAATATTTATAAAATAGTTATGCCAAATTTCTTTACTCTCTGAATCTCAACAAACTTTACTACATTCTTTATTCACTACGCAATTATTTGAACAAATGGATCAAGAACAATTTACAATGGACAAAAATTACAATTATAACGCATTTGAACAAAATTTCCTTATGGCAAGGCAAGTCACAATACTCTGTTCAATATTTATTTTAATTAATTCATTTCGTTAATTTATTTGTTTTAATTAATTCATTTCGGTAATTTATTATATTTCTATTTAAAAAAAAAAAAAAAGGCCTCGATCAAATCATCAATTCGCAGTGGTTTCTTTATCCGGACAACATATTAATAACAAGAATAATGCTCTTAACAATTGCAAAGAACTAATAAAGGAATTTGTTAATAGTTATACCAGTTCTAACAGTGAATAAAAAATTTGCTTATTATTGAAACGTATAGGTAATAATAATATATATTACGTATTAAATATGTAAAATAATGCACGAAATTATGAATAAATGCATGTAATTGATAAGGCTGAAGTGCTACGTACGTATCTCACGCCTAAAAGTAAATTGATTGGTAAAACCTTATTTATTTTTTTAACATAAATCTGAATCTTTTTTTAATATCAACTTTGGACAATTTCTTTGGCTAAAACAGGATTGAAAACAAAAATTTACTACGTATAAAACGCACCTATGGTGGTTTGGCACCTATCATATGCTTTATTATGTTTTTAGGTTTTTATAAGTTTGGTATACGTATATAATTTATAAAGTTTTTTTTTAATGTAAAATTTTTCTCATTAGGGCTAGTATTTAGTGTTAGAATTAAGGTTAAGGGATTTTAGGGGTGTAGACCATTTTTACTTACGGAGAACACTCCGCACCGATTAATTAGCTATTTTTGAAGATAATGTATTTATGTCATAGGTGCGTCTTACGTAGTAAAAGTCAAATTTAATATTTATTTAATTAGGTTAGCATTAGAATTATTTAGTCAATTTTTTTAACCACGGAAGATGGTCAAAATTTCTTGAGGCAAATGACTTTTTGCCACACATTAATCATTTTTATGAC